AAGAATGCCTACAGCGCTGAAAAGTATAAGGCAACAGTCCATTTCATACTAATCTTCACCTTGAACTAAAGCAAAACAGCAGTTCTCCAGATATATATGTATAAAAATGCTAGAATTGCTGTTAATTCTGCAAACTTAAGACTTACTTGAAAGAATTTGTGAGGTTGGTAATATAGGTCACAATACTGAACAGCTAATGCTTTTCCAGATATTTGGGAGTAGAGAGAAGTTAAACTGATTTATCATCTGATTCACCATTTCCCAACAATTTTCTGACCTTTCCAACCTGACAAATTCCCACATGTAACAGATTAACCTTTACCTCCCCCTTTTTCTTTTTAATTTGCCATATAGAACTTTAATGCCAATTCAATCCATCTGATTTCTGAGAACAGACGCCTTTCCAGGTCTAAGCAAACCCCTAGTTTAAGTTATCCTCTTCGCTACATTAACTAAAATTAGTTCATTATCAGTGGTTCCAATAAAATCTGGAGCTACAAGAACAACTGGCAATGCAGAAAAGCCTTTCAGCAAGAGAACAACAGCCTCTGGGAGCAAGCTGAAGGAGAATAGTTGCTGTCAGGAACCCATAAAGCCAAGTTAATTGTCAGATACTAAAGACATACAAATATACAAAATACAAAGCAAAAGACACTGCTCCCGCAATTCTGGAGAATGATGCAAGTGCCCAGCAATAAATCCTGATTCTCAAAGTATAGAAAGCAATCAGCGAGGAAGTTAGGTTTGACCAAAATTTCTGCAGACATCACAGCTCCTGATCTATTCTCAGAGCAATCACTGCTACCAAAACCCTGCTATGTAAACCCAATGCAACCACAGGCTAATCACCCTCTAAACTGAATTTCCTCCTCTGCTAGAATCAAGAAATACATCACCTTGATACACAGAATCACAGAATAGTTTGGGTTGGAAGGGACCTTCAAAGGTCACCTAGTTCAACCCCCCTGCAATGAGATACTTTCTGGAGAATATCATTCTTTTGCCTACTGGGTTCTTCTTCATGTACATGCAATGTTTTTTATTCAGAGCAACAAGTCTTTTGAAGGGGCAGATTTGTACTCAGCAATGAAGTCTTATTTTAAATGGTCAGTGGTGAAAGTCTTGATGATAATTTGGCAGAATTCAGTTTTTTCCACAAAACCTACTAGCACATTGATACACACATGCACACAAAGTTAAAAGATCTCTTTTACCAACCAAAGGTGAACAATGCTGAAATTCAAGTTTGGGTGGGTTTTGGTGGTTGGTTTGGGTTGTTTTTTTTTTCTTTCCCAGTTGCTGTCTTTTGAAAAGATCTTTGATAAAATGCAGATCTATGTAACAGTATTACAGTGCTTGCCTGTAACCTCCAAGACTTCACTGCAATTCCACCTCGACACAGAACCATGATATGCAGTGCTGATCACAACCTATCCCCTCATGAGTGAGCTTCCATACCTTATTTCCCAGAAAAGGCACCTACAAGAAAATCATGCCTTAATACCTAGGTGAAAAACTGTACTATATCATTGCACTGTGGGTTTTGTTTGTTTGGTGTTTGTTTAAACAAGAAAGTTCTACCTTCCTTTTTTAATACTGCATTTAAATGTCACAGGATGCTGGCACTAAGACCATTAGCTTTTGTTTATTCTTCCTAATGAACATTTTCATAATAGCTAGCTAAGAGTAATGTCACCAACTTCCCTACACTAACAATCTAATTATACTGAATTGTGCTTTCAATTAAATACTGTTGGTATAAATAATTACTAAGCACTTAATCCTTCGTAAGGAGCAGAAACAGTATTAATATTCCTCTGAATCTACTGAGAGATCCTAAGACACAGTGTAGTTCCTGAAACTACATCAATATTTGTTTTAAAATTCCCCTCAACTTTGAAGAAATTCCACAATTCTGTTCCTTCCTCTCAGTTAGCTAACAGATACACTGGCCAAAACGTTAGTCTAAACTCAGCAGGAATTTGAGAGTCCATAGGCAATTTAAGCTGGGAAAGTGATATTCCCAGATGAGGGGGAAAAAGGGGTTAATGCTAATTGATTCTTCATAGCAAGTAGCTATCACAGGCTTCCAGTATCATCTCTGCATTGCACCACTGCCTCTGAAGAACAGCTTCACCTCTTTTTCTGTAAAATTTAGAACTGGCCACTGGCAAAATAAAAGTACAGGCACTTAGGAGGGTTGTGGTGGTCACCCCCTCACATCACAAATCACAAATTCATTCATGAATGCTGTCATGTGAACAAGTAATAACATAAAATCAAGCAAAGTATTCAAGTGTCAGTCTTGCCTGATTTTCAGCCCTTCTGCCTGTGATTTAAATCAAATGTAAATGTGTGAAATTATCAAAAAAGAAATTATAGAAAAACAAGATAAGAAAACCCCGAGGAATTAAACATCAGTGCTCCCATAAGCACTTACTACTATTCATAGCCTTAGAATAATCCCACCACAAAACTGGAAGTGTGGAAATATTCTGAATAAAATTATTACTTCTATTAGAAAGTATCAAAATATCAGTAACTTTCCAAAAGAACTAAGCTCTTTCCAAAAGAACTACAAATACACAAAACTTGAACAAAATAAATAAAATCAGACATAAGATAACACTACTTCTGAATCTGTTCCCAGATTTTCAGAAGTGGAAATTATCAGTTACAGTGTCTTAAGACTCTCACATTCATCAGAAAGAAAAGGCAATGCTGAGATTAAGCAGTGGAAGATACATAAATCCAAGTGAAAAAAAGAACAGAATATTTAACACAAGGCATCTGTGCTACCCTATATGTAGTGCTGCATAGAAATACTAGATATTAAGCTATTTCATAGCTTTAACTAGCCAGTTTACATCTTGGAAGCAAAGCAGCTCTCACAAGGAACTACTTCAACACTGGTACTGCTTCTGCTGCTCACACTCAAATCCCAATATATCTTATGTCAGCTGTTCCACCTGCTCTTTCCAGCCATGATAAAATTACTTACCAGGCTGGAAGCCTTGATTATATCATTTCCAGCATAAAGTAATTTTGCTTCAGAAAAAAGCAGTTTTGCATACAAAAATAAACGCACACCCGGTAAAGATAGGGATATTATCTGGAGTTGTTAATTGTTATTTTTGTACTCACACTGTGCGAGGCACAAGTTTCTTCACCTGTAACATTATTTTGCACCCACAGAAGTGGAAGCAAAATTAAAAATGGAGTAAAAGGCAGTGCAATTTTAAGCAGAAACAGAAAGTGGCTACTTTAGACTAAACTGAGTGAACAGAAGCTTCCAACATGTAGATTCTATGGCCGAGTTGAAAGCACAGCAGTGGAATAAAGGACAGATATCTAGGCCTGAATACTCTTGCTCTATAAACCTCCTGGCATGTTCCATTTTAAAATTGAAGTTTCAAAATTAAATAACCTGCAGAATAAAAGTTTCTGGAGTATGGATTAAAAAGCCATAGACACCAATATATTTGCTAGGTTCGTTACCTTTGTAATCAGGAAACTGAAGAAACCTAGGCTCAGCAAGTCCTTTAACTTCATTGCCTGAAGGTTCAATTTAAACTCATCTGAACTCATCAGTGATACATAATAAAGTTATCCAAAACCTGTAATACTTCTCTGAATAACAGATCAAATGCTATTTTGGAGACTGACTTCTTAGGAAAAAAAAAGGCAGAACAATCATCTAGGATGCATTGGTTATTAATGCTCAATTTGTATTTCTGATAACTGCATCAAATCATCCTTGCCTTATTAATATCCAAAGGATCCATAAAGCCACTATATTGTACAGCTCTTGTTCTTTCTTATTTTCTCATTTTGTTTTTCTTAATCATAAAAAATGGCAAGGAGGGAGAAAATGAGCAATGAACAGTGGACAACATATTATTCCAGGTTGTATCCCCTTAAATACAGAGGATTATATTGAAAAATCTGATTTTAAAGTGCATGACTCAATAGTTGCTAAAACTGTCATGAGGAAAATTACATTCTACATAAGCTAAAGGGAGTGAAAGAGAGATGCTTTTATGCAGCTGGTCTTCCTTTTTGTAACACAGTAACGTCTCAACTTTAAAGGCTTAAGTAGCACAAATGAGAGCCAGTAAGAGGTGTACAACATGGTGAACATTTAATTAGCTCTTACAAGTGTACAGCCTTGCTTTCACACATGATAAGGCAGACTAACATCAGTCAATTTTTGAGCATTGTCAGGCAAAAGGTCAAGGAGGCTCCTAAGAAACTGGACAGCTGCAGTAATACAAGCATGCTCCTGATGTTACATAATGTAATTGTGCAGAAATTTCAAATATAGGTATAAAAAAAAGGCAGTACACTGATCAGGGTAATACGTTTTGGTGCTGCATCAAGTTCACACTATTCTGTTACCACAACTGAACTCATACAACAACTACTGCTTCTTGCAGACACATCAGCTTATTCAAGGCTGGCTTTGATACCTACACATGGCTTGAAGTCCTTAAATAATCACATCTCAAGTTACAAAGATGCAGTCTGCTAGAACAACATTACTATAGATGCAGTAAAGCTGGAAGTGGAGTTTTTTTTTTTATTCCTTCACTACAGTTACTCCTATAGTGCATGGACTTGTGTCAGTCATTATCTCCTCAGGGTCTACTGAAGTTTTCATATGGACAGAAAGGGTATTGAGCACACAGGTAGCCACAAGACAGAACAATGCTCAAGCAGTCTTCACCTTCCTCTATTAGGTTCTTCCAGTCTTTCTGCAAGCCTGGAAAACCTCCAATTCCACTGTGCGACAAAACAAGCCAGCAAAGCAAAGACAAACACCTCTAAACTGAACCCTTTCAGAGAGAATTCCTGACCAGCTTTCAATGAGACCAGATAACAATGCTGAAAGAAATGAAGATATGACTACAGAAAAAGAAAATCCTGGGAGAGACCAAACATGACTAACAAGCTCAAAAAAGGGTTACAACAGCTGGTAACATGGGCATGAAACTGCTTACCTCTGTCCGTACGTTTCATAAATGTATTATGATTCTCCAAGGGCTGTCCCAGAATTTTCCAATGAACGTTATCCTTTTTCTTTAAGATAATCTCTACTTTCCCAACTTTTTCAGCAATATTTACTAAAAATTAAAAGGTTTCATATCGTTACTTTTAATTACACTCTGTACAAAAAAAAATTTTACTCCTCCATTATAATTACATTTTAGAAGAATTAGTCATTTCTCAAGACACATGGAATTAACCTGTTACATTAAGATAGCTGGAAGTATATTTAATTTGATATCTCTATAATGCTTTACAGTGCATTTAAAACAACAAGCACTTATGCATAATTAATGTATCTTATTTAAAATAAATACATTGTGAGAAGCTTCGCAGCCTGTGAGTTCAAAAAGAAGGCTCATGAATTCAGAGTCCTCCTTTACTTAAAATTGGTAAATACCACTATTTACTAGTACCTTTCTTCTCAAGGCCATTTGAGTAATTAAATGCTAGAAAATCCCAGTCTAAGCAAAGTTTAAAAATACACCACAGAACCAACTTTAATGATTTTAACATTTAGTCATACTCATAGGAATCAAAGCACCATCAATATATTACTTTCACAGGTCCAAATGCCACAATTAAAACAAACAAATAAATAAATAAATGATTTGGTTTGATCTGATTGTGTCAGAACCTGGTGGTAAGCAAAATTGTAAAGTGTCTGGCAAGTCAGAAAAATAAACTGAAGTTCCACTTTCTGATATTAGAATTGATACACAAGGGCTGCAAGAGATGGCACTTACCAGCCACGTCTTCTTGAACGGCATGACTCAAATCTGAAATTAAGAGAAACAAACTCCATGTTAAGCAAAACCAAAATTACATTCTAGTTGTCAAATACGCACACAGTTTAAGGCTAGGAGTACTGAATGAACTAATCACCTAGAACTCTATGAATCTTTATCAGGCCCTGAAATTTCCCTTGTTACTTCTGCAGGCCTACTACATAACATTAACAAAGGCATTGTTTCCCTCCCCCATTACTTTTAACAGACTCATGTACAGCTACCAATCTGCATTATCTACATCATTCCACTTGCCCTTTCAAATAAGGGCATCTTAATAACTATCAAAAATACGCTTGAAGAAAAAGTCTACATAAACATCAATTTCTTATCACACTTTATTCCACATGTAAAAATTCAATAGATACTAAACAGATGAAGATGTGAGTTGATAAACAATGTAATTCATTTACAACAAGGTACTTTAATTACCTCTAATGAAAGAGAAGGAATATATTAAATGGTATCTGTAAAAAACATATGGTCTGATGAGAGTTTAATAAAGCAGAATGAAAATGTAGTACTTTCAAATTGCAAAATTATTGTACCTACCAACTTCTAAAAGATATGAGTAGTCATCCACGATTATCTCTCCCCTTAATCGTTTGTCTTCACAGTCAAGTATCACCAAGTCTGCATTCATACCCTTTCATAGACAAGGAAAAAAAACATTTGAATAAAGTTCTCTCAGAATTCAAGTTGGATCACAAATGGATCTTGCAATTCTCCCTTTCATAAAATACACTTACCTTCTGCTTAGTATATACGGCAATGGTGATCAAACTATCTGTTTGGAACCAGTCATAACTGTAAAACAAGAAATCCAGTAAAGAGAAGAATATATACTTTCTTTGGGTATACCAAAATATATTTAACTAGCAGTTTTCAAGTAGAGCTTTCATGAATTTACAAGCCAAATACACTATTTAATATTTTTTGAATAGGTAAGTCCAGAGCTAATGATTTTGAAAATACTGTTAAGATAACAAAAGAGTCTAATTACACATCTTGATCGTTAGCACATTGTAGCTAAAATTATATGGTGTTAGTTTTACATAAAAAGCACCTGAATCCTCTTTGCAGTATAGGAACCTTACTAAGATGATGATGATAATCTTGACTGCAGACAGAATTATTATACAGCCAGGGTGGCTTCCAAGAATTATAGACTGCATTCACATACCACAAAACCACAGTTCCTTTCATCTCCACAAATCAAGATTTTGCATTGCTATGTTCCCAAGCTGCCCAAACCTTGCAATAAATCCAGAGAAAGGTATGAAACCGAAAGCCTCCAAATGATAATTGGAGGGGTTCATATGGACATATACTTGCCAAGAAGTAACTTACCCACCTAACCCAGAAAAGCTATTCCTTTCTCTACTCATTTTCATCAGGACCATATGTCTGACAATCTCATGCCTTGCTCTCCACCACAGACATCTATAGTTCTCACTTAACTTCTATATGGGTTGCAAGCCCCGCCAGTGAAAGTCAATTCTATCCCCACAACAAAGTTAACCCCTCGCACCTACATTGCTGCCACCTTCTCTTCTCCCCAGTGTTCTAGCCACTTCCATTTACTGTTTGCACTCCTGGACCAGAAAAAAAAAAAAAAAAAAAAAAAAAGGCAAAAGAGGAGAATGTCCCTCCCAGTAGACACTCTTGACAGCCAAAACATTCTAGGCTGCACATATCACACACCAGAAAATGCTAGACACAGGAAGAAAGGCAGCAAGGTTTGGGGATCACTTCAGAAGGCAAGCCATATTTCCAGTTGTTCACAAGCCACAATATTTTGTATGACTGCATGTAGCTAGCCCACAAATTACACATTTACAGGACATTTTTATGCAAAGGGAGAAAATAAACCCTGGTGACTCAAGGTATCATGGAGCAAAAAAATACCTCAGGGACAACAGCAGGGATACCACAGTGGGGTTTTAGTGCCTGCTTCACTTTGCATATTGTAGAAACTTGCATACGGCTATCATATCTTAATATACTTCAGCTTGAAACAGAGTACTTTTCCAAGGCATACCAACTCATACATTAATGGACAGATCAACTGAAGTCAAAGAAGTAAGCAGGCCAGTTGGAATAATTTTCTAGGAGCTTTCTCAAGAAGCAAGGATGAAAAGCCTACAAATATGCACCATGCATTTTTTTACGATGGGAGGCACTGCGAGCATTAGAAACCGACAGAGCAAGCAGAGAACCTTGCATCACCATCTGCCTATACAGTCAACATGACCTTGGCAAGTTGTTTAAGCCTGAACCTCAGCTTTCCTACCTGAAATAGGCTGCTAATGATATACACTCATTTAGCTGAAACATCAAGAGCTAACCATGGAAGAAGTTGCCTGCATTTTCTAAGAACCGCACAGAACTATTAAATAGAACGTTTGACAGACAACAAAAGAAAAAAGTTTACCTTGGAGTTAAATCTTTAGAAGAAGTACACAGTACTTTCTTCTTAGGAAGCATACCTAGAATGAGGAGAGAGTCATTAAGATATTTACTGTGATGCTCGCTTAATCAAAATCAGAGTCAGAGATTCTGAGAATCGAAATCAGAATCAGAGATATTTTGGGGTTTAGAAACTGAATGTTCTAAATACCCCTCCACAACATTTAGTGGCTTCATTTCTTCAGGCAGCCAGAGGCATCCATGCACTTTTTAAATTTTATTTTTATTCAGCACTTTCTTTTGGAGAGTAAGCTCCTAAAACATGAAGTTCTACTTCAGAAAATATATTCCATATATGGCAGAACCTGTGCATGCAACCCTTCCAGTACACGTAGCCCAGTCCCAGTTTCATCTGTTACTAGCTTGTGCTTTCACACTTTGTGATAATGAAGCATGGAAGAAGGGTTATTGGAATGAATCTCCTTTAACAGAAGTATTTGTTAATACAATTCAGATGAACAAATTCAACTTGAGATATCTGGTCTCACTTAATTCACAAGGTCAATTTCACATCAGCCAGTTAATCTACTTTGCACTTCTCTAGGAATTTTCACAGAATTCAGTTACTCACTTTAATAATTAAACAACGTGAAACAGTCTGAAGAAGCTTTTGTGGGAGGCAACACTTGGTCAGTCTTTGAAAATATCAGCTATACTAATCTCTGGCCTAACAGAAACTTAGCGTATTTGGCAAAAACTTGAGCAGAGATGACAGATAAAACTGATGAAGAATTGCAGTTGCTTTTAAAACAAAATACTTATATAGGATCATGATGGAGACAGCTGCACAGACAGAAATATAGTATGATTTGTAACTCCACATGAACAGCAGTTTTCCTGGACAATAGCTCAGTAGAGGTCTCAGATAACAGTTGGTAAATTCTAGATTCAAGGTCATTCAAATTAAACCTTGCAAACATGAAATGGCTATGCATCAAATAATGTATGAATTCCCAGTTACGTAGATTATCCTCTTCTAAATGCTAGTAAATTTTGTAGCTTGACTACAAGCTTAAACATAGTAATTGAGTAGCTCCACCATGTGGAAAGTAGATAAACAGAAAGGCACTCACGTCTAATCCAATCTGTCAAAACTATTTCATCATCCAAAAGGGGGAATTAACCCAAAGCAGTTAACACTTGCTGGAATTACTTATTCTTTGATCCTTAATTACCTCTAAAGTATACACCATCTGCAGCTTCCAAGGAAGCTAAATGGCACAGCAGTCAGATCCTTGCAAAAGAAAACCAATTACCTAACAAAAAAGCCTTCTCAAAGGCTAAACCCTCTTTGAGGACAGCTGGAGAGAGACTTTTTACAAGAGCCTGTAGGGATAGGACAAAGGAAAATGGCCTTAAAATGAAAGAGGGTAGATTTAGATCAGATATCAGGAAAAAAAATCTCCACTGTGAGGGTGGTGAGGTGCTGGCACAGGTTGCCCAGAAAAGCTAGGGCTGTCCCATCCCTGGCAGTGTTCAAGGCCAGGTTAGACAGGGCTTGGGGCAATCAGGTCTAGTGGAAGATGTCCCTGCCCACAGCAGGGGGTTGGAATTAGGTGATCATTAAGGTCCCTTCCAACCCAAACCATTCTGATTCTATGGCTTATATCATATGCTTAGGTTGGCCTCCACGGGTAAGAGAAATTCACGGTCATACGTGCTCCTTTTTGATTTTGCAGGTCAACAGAAATATGTGAACAGCCACAATAAAACAGAGCTTTCTGGCAAACCAAGTTATCTATGAATTATTCTGCAATGCTGTATGATGCTATGTGAAAACAAGAAGTCACACTGCAATAAAAAGACAGTATTTCTATGATTCAGGTGATCAATAAAGCAATTAAGTAAAGTGCTCTACTGGTCATGGTGGTCATAAGTAAAGAAAAGCTGGTGGTGAAGCCAAAGGCTAACAGCAGACATGAAATGAAAGAGTTTAAGGTGACCAGGATGAACAGCAGAATTATAGCTCTGCATCTCATGAGAGCAAACTTTACTTAATTCTGGGAACTGCTTCACAGAATCCCATGGGAGAGCAAGGCTAGTGATAAGTTTCTCACATTATCCTCATAGCCACATTGGAGAGAGCTGGGCTTGATATGTGGGTTAAAATCTGGATAGAAAATTAGTAGGACTGTCAGTCACAAAAGGTTTGATCAGCAGTCCAAAGTCCAACTGGTGGCTAGTTACAGAACTAGTACCTAAGAACAGGGAATGCCGATAGTGTTTCATAGTGTCATTAGGAACCTGAAGGGCACACAATGTCCCACTATCAGGAAGGAAGTGAGCAACTACAAAGCATAAAAAGCAGTCAAAACACAAACGGTTATGGCTGCCATTCAAAGGGATGTAGACCAACTGAAGAAACAGGCTGACAAAAGTTCCATGAAGCTCAGAAGCAACACAAAATTTTGCACCAGGGGAAGGAAAATAAATCTGATGAAACAAAACAAGCAGGAGGCCTGTCTAGACAGAAAGGAGCTTTGCAGAGAATCTCCCAATAACTTGGTAGACAAGCCAAACTTGGGCAGATAACTGCATCTTTGTTGTGATGAAGGCCAACTTTATCCTGGACAAGAGTACAGCCGTCAGTTCAAGGGAAGCAATTCTTCCTCTCTGTTCAGCATTTGTGAGGCCAATCTGGAGTACTGTGTCCAGTTTGGGCTCCCTGGTGCAGGACAGATGTTGATATACCAGAACAAGTCCAGAGAAAGGCCACCAAAATGGTCAGCAGCTGGAGCAGCATAACATATGAAAGGACAGTGAGGGAACTGTGGGTGTTCAGCCTGCAGAAGAAAAGGCTAAGGAGGAAATCCAAATGTAGTCGTCAACTAGCTAAAGAGAAGGAGGTGGGAGAGAAGGAATTATAGAGAAGATGGCCAGATGCTTCTCCAGAGAAGGACAAGAGGCAATAGACAAGCTGCAATGAAAAATTGGCAGAAGGGTGAAAAAACAAAATACCATACCTTGTCTCCTCACCTCTTCCCATAAGGGTGAGATTGCTCATGAGCAGTATCATACACCATCTAGCTTTGAGCAGGAGACCAGACAGAACAAGCTACAGATGTTCCTTCCAACCTGAACTATCTTGTCTTGACCCTGCTACTCCAACCCTATGGCCATCTATCTTTTCTGATACAGAGAAGGATTTCTACAGCACACAGTAATTTGTGACCTAACTAGTCTCAGTCAAACAGAAAGCTCATCCGTCTCATACTTCCCTTATCTATACTGCTCTAGAGCAGCCTTTTAAATACTTTTAAACACTGAATTCACAATACCTGATTAGGATTCTGCCTTCTGTAATTTCCACAGATCACTAAAGCCTCAACATCAGATTCAAACATAATGACAGAGAGAAGCCTGGACAAACACTGCTCATTCAATAATATTTAACTAAGTTTCAGATTCACTGCTTGCCTCACTCCAGGTGAATACTTACCATTAAGCTGTTTCTTCTCTTCAGACACAGAAGTAATCTCTACAAACATTAAGAAAAAATGAGCACCACAGTAAGAAGTTGCAGCACAGTACTTGCACACATCATGCTAAAGAAACAAGCCAAGTAAGAATCCACAACTAAACCTTCCAAAACATTAATAGATTGACCAGGATGCTTCGTATGTCAAGAAGTTTCAAATAAATGCAGCACTGGTTGCCATTCCAAGATTATATATAATTAAACAAATAGCATTTTAAACATGCCAGAAGTTGCACAGCACTAAAGGGCAGGAAAAGCAAGAACTCCAGCACTTCAAAACAAACACCACAGATTATCTTTTGCAATGATAAACTTCCCAGCTAAGAAACTCACTAGATCTGTCAGACCTTCAATGACACTTGCGGTGTGACAACACTTAGCTGAAACTGAATCTGACCAACCCAGCATCTGGAAATCGAAACCAAATCCTTGGCAGAAACCCAAGGGAAAAAAAATAATGCTTCTGCAAGCTCCTTCTGTCAAATTAGTTTATTTAACAAGTTACTGTCTGAATTTTTCATTAAATCCACGGTATGCAACTATTCCAAACACACAACAACTAGCAGAAATAAAAAACCCTAAAAACCAAAACATCAAAACAATAACTAAATAAACAAAAAAACCCAACCAAGCAGGTGAATAAAACATTGTATCATGTCATAGATAAGGTGCTCAACTTGAGTCGAAAGGCACTGCACCTCTCAGCCACATAACCTTCTGCTCACAGCAAATTGGGGAAACTAAGCTCTTTGGATGTGCCCAGGCCCCTTTCTGCCTTTTCTACATTGCACATCTCAATGTCCCAATATAAAGGTGAATTTTATATTCTCTTTGATTGGAGCCAGTTTTGGGGAAGTGGGAGAAACAGCAGTGTGTTTCTTCTGCTCCCTTTTATGAAAATCAAAACGTGAACTTTTCTCCCCTGCTCTTCTGAATCCCTTTCAGTGCTCTGCATCACAGCAGCCAGTGCCAGGGGAAAAATGCCACTGCAAGTGAAGGAAATGTTCCTGGAACAAAACACCACACATACAATAGTGCAAAATAACTTCAGAGCTGCCCAAGAATTGTGTTCATCAAAGGCTTTCATGTTGTGCCACAGCAAAAAAAAAAAAAAAAAAAAAATCAAGATAAATGGGACAGTTCACCCAGATGCCTGTGTATTCTTATTCTAGAGTACATCACTTCAAGCTTTCTGAAAGGATAGGCAAGTAATTTACAAAATGTCATTTCTGATGAAAGGTAATTTTTTGTGTTCAAAAGTCTGCTCTCACATCACGACATTTTAACAAACTGCACCAAAACTGGCATTGCAGTTTTAAGGACAGTTTGAGGCATTTCCAAGACACAGCCCTACCTCTCTTCCTTGGATGACACCATAGCTCTCAGTCTAACCTCACTGAATTAAGAGTATTACAATATGCATTCCAACTCCCAAGTTACGTTACCATTGAAGTAACACAGGGACATGTACTAATGTGCCTGATAAACATTATCAGGATTGAAAAATACCAGACAACAAACTAATGTCCTTACTAGTGTTTAGAGCTGAGCACCCTGAAGCGAAAGCAAGCAGTTTAATGCTGTACACGTTTGTTGAGGGAGACACTGAAAACATCTCTTACATGCCTGAGGACTGCTCTGGTTACTGCACTGGTCTTCTCAGGAAGTATAAACACCACATGTTTCAGTGCACAGATCCACTGTAACACTTCAGGGAAGTGAAGGGACACTTCAGAATTGCCTATTAGCCACTACCATACCATTAAGCAGCATTCCCAATAGACAAGCTGACAGAACATCACTTATAACCACCATTTTCACGACTCTTCTTTCCTAAAGAAATAGCACACTAGAGTATGCAAGGACAATAGCTTCCTTATACAGTTTGATGACCAAATAATTGTACCATCTTTGAAAAATACACCAGAACACAGGAAGAAAAACTAAGTTAAACCACAAATCTTCCAGTAATGCCCCAACAAACCTATATATGCCCTACCTGCACTGTACTGAGACTGTATAAAACAGCAAGTACCAACACTTGCCTAATGCCAAACACTCAGCTTGTCACAAAAAAAAACACACCACTATATTCCATAATTTGAAGTCCTGTCTTTCCTTGATATTTATGAGCCCACTTAATTCTACATTCAAAAACATGCACCTTACTTAGTAGTATTCCGTTTTCAAATGCAAACTTCGCTGAATATGGTCTTTCTGGAAGGATGCAAGACTACAACTATTGCTGGCTGATAGTGAAGTTAGTTAATCATGCTTCTGACCTCAAAGTCAACTTTGAGAATTTTACAGTGAAGAATTTTAGCAAATCCAGTCTAATCTGGTTGATTCTTACTGAGATTACATTTTTTTTAAGCCTGAAATGGCTAACAGACACAAGCAATGGAACTGGTTTTATGGAGTTGGCAACTTTCATCCTGCAAACTTTGCTCCAGCAAAACAGACAGAAGAGTCCTACTATGGAGGAAAGCCAAAAAAGTATACAGCAGAAAACAGACTGTCATAGCTGGCAGGAGCAAAGACATGTCTCAAGAATACCTTCTAGTTGCAAAAGTCAGGTTTACTTTTAAATTTCTCACTGAGCTGACAAAGTAGCAGTAATTTATCTGTAACACCTCGACTCCATTAAGCAGTTACATTTTTGAGGTTTCTTCATACTTTGGTGCATTCTCCCCAAAAGCTCCACACTGGAAACAGCTACCCAGCCACATGGAGATACAAAATATTATTCTTCATGTACAGACCAAACTCAACCTAACCGTAAGGCGATATAAGTGCTAAGGAGGTATGTGGTGCACCTTGCCAGAAGCTTAAGAGCTACAAGAGATGAATTTGTGAACTAAAAGATGCCACTGAATTTGAGAAGAAGAGCTGCAACTATTAATTTCTTCATGTTTTCCCTGCCGTTGTGCTAAGGGTCAATACTCCATAACAGAGTCTGCTTCCTACCTATAAGAAATTTTTGCTGTGGCCTACAAACCAAAACAAATACTGAAGATTAAACTCTCTGGAAACCATCATAGGCATTTTAGACAATATACTAAATCTCTTGCTGTCCTGGCTCAGAGGAGTCTGTTGTCTCAGCAAAATCTTTTCCAACTAAATTTGAACTAAAGAACCAAATAAAGTATTCTGGAAAGGATAACTGTTCATAAAGTGTATTCAAAGATCTCAATATATACGCAACTTGCCAGACACGTCTGCTGCTGAAATCACCAGACTGAAAATACTAACTTTATTTCAAGCTAAGAGAGGTATGACAGTTTGCCCCCAGGGATCAGAAGGAGAAACAGGGATGTGGGAGAAAAAAAAACAACAAATCATATATATATGTGTATATATATATATATATATATGCCCACAACACACGCATGTCTGTTTCTGGTGACTAAAAAGAAAAAATTGCAGCAGTCCATCACTTAAAAAAGTTTCCATGCATAAACCAGATTCATCTTCAGGTATCTGCTGTAAAAAGACTGAATATTTGCAACAACCTTCATCTCTATGCCAGAATAGGCTCTCCCTGTAAACAGGATTCCTTGCAATTTCCAGATAATTTTTTAATACAGCATAGTAGACATTACTGCATTCTTAAAAACCTCACCTTTTGGGGCAGTAATAGGCTTGACAGCCATTCTCCCAACAAGACATTCCTTCAGCATCGATTCATAATTGACCCAGCGATGAACCTATAGTAACAAAATATGGTTTTATAAAATTTGTAATTCATACTATGGTGTCCTAAGCACTGAAATAGAAAAACAGAAAGATTAATTTTTTCGTAGTGGCTGACGTAATTCACTTAGCAGCGGTTTTGTGGTGGTTTTTTTTTTAAAGACTCATTATTACATTGCTTAGTACTTATTTTTACTTCTACGACAGATAACATGTAATTAAGTGAAAAAAGTAGATAGTTTAATCATTTTATGTTTTGCAGTATCTCAATATCATAACTTTGAACTACAGAAAATATTTCAGAAAAGCACTTTTAAGATGTGTGAAATGAAGAACTTTGAATTACACTTCATTTTTTAGGAATTTGAGAAACACTAGCAACCTACCAAACCCTTAAAAGCATCAGTATCCGACAGACACAGAATACTAAAGCAGAGGGGATAACAAGAGAAATGCCTCCAGAACAGAAAAGATATCAGCCAGAAACAAAAAATGTGAACAGCATATTTTAAGTATCTGAACAATGCTTTCCACTCCTATGATGGGGGTGGAAGGGAATAAAAAAATGTATCAAGTATGTATCTGAACTTAGTAACAACTTGATGGGCTTCCCCAGATGTGCCTGATGCCAAGACTCCTGTTAGAGAATATATCATCCGACGACCCAGCTACAGAATTCCAGGCCACAACTTGATTCTCCATCAACTTTAAGGAGAGAAACTCCAGATTTCTGGAAACCAGAGAATTATGCCCAAATCCAACACTGCATTTGCGAAGGGATTAACCAAAGATAAACTTAAACATCATCAAATCTTTATTTACATTCATTGTTAAAACCATTTTGCAAATAGGGCATAACATACTGTAATAAGCCAACTGTAAAGAGGTAACAGACTTCCTGTTCAAAAACAGAGGAAGTTTCTTTTCTGCCTTTTCCCAGTTTCTCAGAAAAAACTTGTGAGCCAAGGAGACTCAAAGAATCTGTTTCTAAAAAATACCAACTCAGTGAATCATCTTTTACAGCACCAGGTTTGCAAGCTATTTCTTACAGAAAATACACCCATTCTGCAGACCCTTTATTTTCCAAGTCTTTAAAAAACATTTAAAGAAATGAAGGAGCCCAACTGATACATTATGATTTCTTCACTGTGAGGTAATAGCAGCCCCAGCATTTTTATTTAGTACTTGACTCCCTGATAATGCAGGGGATAAATTAATGGGTAAAAGAATATTACAAGCATTTTTCAAAAAATTAAACTTCTGAGAAGAAAATGCCTCTCAAACAACAGCAATCGGTTGTTGTAGTGACTTATTAAGAAGGTGGCATCTCAGGCTACTGCTACTTTATTGTTATTTCTCCTAAAAAATAATAAAATGGTCAAATTGAAGCAACATTTCAACATCAAAGTGACATCTTGATTGCTGTCTTCTGGTATGCTTCTTTCAGTAAAGAAGTGCCATTCTCAGCAATAACTCAGTGCCTTTTCTTAGACCTGAAAAAGTTCCTCCGGGAGTAGAGGGAGGGAAAGAAGGGGGGGAGTGAGTGAATGAGTTGCCTGACTCGGTTTAAACCACGACAAGTTCAAATCACCATTTCCACTGGAATGTCCTAAAATAATCAGAAAACATGCATTTCCTTTTTCAAAATACCTTTCAATGAGCAAGTGTAATTTGCTGCCAGTTCTCACCTGGTCAAAGAGATCTGTACCATCAGTTCCTGCCGCTTTCATTAGTTCATCCTCACCACCGGGATGATATTCCATATATGGTGTGACATTATATACAAATCCTGAAGAAAATGGAACATAAAAACAAGTAAGCAGCATTTCCACAAGCTCTACAACCACTCCTATCTCCAAAACCAGTGAAAAGTTAATGTATATTCAACAGTGTAATGGCAAATAGTAAACATAGCTGCAACAAATAGTATGACTTCACAAAACACAATGGTATAGAGAACAAGACAAGATGTTCCTACACGGAGATGCCAATCCTATAATGCCATGCCACTTTGTCCAGTGAACATATGAAGAAACCTGCAGGGTTAAGGCTTCAACCTTGAAGGTGAACATGGTATATGCTAGCTAGGGGGTAACTAGGACCAGAGACTGATTTAAACAAAGACATAAAATTGAGCCTGTTAGTGCACAGAACTGTTTTCACTCTCCAACTAAGTTACCCCTGAAGTGCTGTTGTACTTGTTTCTGTATACTCCATCATCTATGGAATAAAATTCCTACAGGAATGAACTGTCCCCCATAAGGACAAACTGCTACCATCAGCAACAAAACTTCAACTCTTCAGATTCAGCAACATAAAAGAACTTAAGATAGTCTATGCTCATTAAAGGCTTATAACTCTGGTACCAAATTTGTCCCAGTAAAAGGGTTCAGCATTCTTTCTGCATGAGTCTTAGGATTTCCAGGAAGATAAAACAATGCCTCTTCACAGGTCTGAAATCATGAAATCTAATTATTGTTGCTATGCAACCAGAGTAATTAGAGCCTGGAGAATGCAGCTATAAACAGATTTAACTGCAGACATGTTGGTGTTAACAGGACTATTGCAGGCCTACCTAGCAGAATATTTAAAGACACACACATTACCAAAACAGAAAGCTACCAGAAGTGGAACTGCACCAGTGCTTTTGTAAGAAGCTTTTAACACATTAAGAAGTGTACATTAATTACTCCGGACGGAGAGGTAAGCATTCAGCACTGAGCCTGGGGAAGACATACTTGGGAGAATCCTAGTTGGTAAGAACAGCCATCGCAGACAACACAGAAAAGAAAGACCTCTGCATGTTTTACTGAGCAGATCTTCTGATGGATGTATTCACTACGCCATCTTGCGGGCAGCATTGATTACTGCACACACTAAAAGTAGCAACATTGTTACGACCTCCTGACTATTAGTCAGTTAATCAATTTACCATCAAACATGCACGAGCAAAAGAAATCTCATTTATATACCCTTCACACTTTAACTGCCCTTACATCCCACTTACATATATAAATCTCTGTCCTATATGACAGCATTATTTGATGATCATCATACCAGGGTTTTGAACAAAGTTAGCTCTTCATTTACTTCACTATCCTCTCATCAATTTCTGTCCTAATAGATACACAGTCTAAGTACCATTGCAAAGACTTCATTTAGCTTTTCCACAATGGTGTTATATTGCTACCTGCCCATATATCAGGTCTACAGATAATCTACCAGGATTCTCGGTTATGCTGTTTTTTTTCATTAGTCTGTCAACAAAGAAAAAGCAGAGAGAGGAAAATATAAAGACATACAAAAGCAGCATGATGGAGTTCTTGTAAAACCAGTATCAGAGATGCAGTCAAGGGGAAATAAGAGATTAAACCAAAACATAAAAAGTTTTAAGCAATGATTTTGTATTCAGTAGATGTCCCTTTTTGAGTGAGAAAAACGAATAGACCTCCACAGTAAATAAGCTCTCCTCTTTAACTGTAGTTTTGCTAGCAAGTGCAAGAGCACACAGAGCATTAACAATCCTATTATTTTGTTCAAAAGCCAGTACTGAATGACATTTTACCCTTACTCTCTTATTCCTTTCAATGTCAAAAAAATCCCAGTCACCCTCACAGAGATACTGAACTGCTGGAGTTCAGAGACGACATTACAACAAATACCAATGCTGTTCCTTACCAGAACAAAGTTACAATTAACAAACCACTCCTCCTACAGAAATGTCACATTAGCTACTCAAGTGTTAATAATCTACCTTTGTAGAAGTGTTGTTATAACATATATAAGGTGATATTGATGTATTTTAGCCTCTAAACAAATTAACCAGAGGGAATATTTTGTTCCTTTCTGTAAGACAACTAGGAACTTCATTTTCAGCACTGAAAATACTTACCTAGCTACAGCTACTGCTCCAAAGTTTTGAGCTGAAATTTCATTAAAATAGCCGCATAAATAGAATGGCTTATTTGCCACAGATGTTTGATTGCTAGATAGAAATTATGATTGTTCTGTGTTACAACTGTCATTAGCCCTACTCAGTTTTATGGAGGTTTATATACGCTTACACATTTGTTTCCCAAAGACCATTCCACAGGCCTAAGTAATATTTTAAGTATTTTTATGTCTCTAGATGCCTTAAAGCAATCACTAAAACCAGTCAACTGTTAAGGATAATAAACTGATGTCAGCATTTTCAATGCCTTATTTTTGCTAACCCCTTGTTATTTGAGGCATTACCTTATATCTTGTGTTTTATTATGTTCATATGTATATTTGGGGCCTACAAGGATGCTGGCAAGGGACTCTTCGCTAGGGACTGTAGTGACAGGACAAGGGGTAACGGATTACAACTTGAAACAGAGGAAGTTCAAGTTATATACAGGGAAGAGGCTCTTTACTGTAAGGGTGGTGAGGCACTGTAATGGGTTGCCCAAGGAAGTTGTGAATGCTCCATCCCTGGTGGTGTTCAAGGCCAGGCTGGTCAGAGCCTTGGGTGACATGGTTTAGTGTGAGGTGTCCCTGCCCATGGCAGGGGGGTTGGAACTTGATGATCTTTTCCAATCCTTACTCTTTTGTGATTCTATGATTCTATATATAAAACAAGCATAAATTATGCTCATTTGGAAGACTTCTTAAGAAAGGCTTGAAAACAAGAAAATCTTTGGGGCACAAAATCTCTTACCTTGATCGAAGTTCTGCCCAATTATGCCAAAATTACACCCTGCTGAGGCACAGAAGGTGCATAGTTTGTTTTGGGGAGTGGCTTTTGTTGTTTTTTGTTCCTCCTGTTTTTTACGTACAGAAGAGAAAATGTAGGCAAAAAACACAGAAGGAACATCACAGCAACCAACCTCTTATACATATCCAGCAGTCCTCTTTTTTGTTGTGCTTAGCAAGCTCATCTTCAGTCACTTCAATTAGTCTCCCTTTTAAACCAGTCATGTCTTTCCCACTTTTAGTTAGTCGAATCCAATCCATAAGACTCCTTCCTGGCTTTAAAGGTACCTGAAAAATAACAAACACACAAACACTGTTAAACTCTAAAGTAAAAAAGAGCCATTCAAAACACTTTTCTAAACTCCCTAGGAAGAGTTAAAACAAGAAATAACACAATGTGTATTCTTCACTGATATCTGGGAGCCCTACTCAGCAGCAAGGGTGCTTAAGGAAGCATCCTATCTGGTAACCCAGACAAGGGAATTATGGAACATGAACAAACATTTAGATGACTCTTCACAAAGCAAACTGCAGATACCAAGTCCTCCTGTGGTGCTAAAAAGCTTTTACCAGCATCATTTGAGATACAGCCTGGAAACCTACCAGCAACAAGGAAGAGAGATTTGAAAATCATGGCCAAGTAGGACAAGTTAGGAAAGTTCACCTTCAGAGCATTCATAAAGACTTGCTGCAAGCCCTATAGCAAGTGGAAATCTCACCCAGAAAAAGGTGGGACCAAACTCTTCCAGCTTACCAGGGATGTAACAGCAATGGTGGGCCCAGAAAGACAGAGCAAAATCTTCAGAATGTCTAGCACCTTCCTTTTCAACACCACCACAGAGCGGGAACCCTTTGATTCGAACTTTTAACAGCGCGGAACAGGGTTAGGGAATGGAGGTCTTACAAAACTGCAGCGAAACCAGAAGCGAGAAAACTAAAGAGCACACAGACCCACATCACTTGATGGTTATTTTAGTCTAAGTACGAGTTTGCTTTCCAAACCTCACATCTGCAGACACCAAGTGCCCCCCAAATCACCCCGTCTTCAGGGTAAGCTGAAAGTCTCCATCTCCGCACAGAAGGCCCTGGAGACAGGCTGAGAAGGCAGAGCAGGAAGCGTTATCACCACCGCCTTCGAAAACGAGAAGTACGAAGCATTTTCTGGCGAAGCAGCCGAACCCAGGGGCTCTGCCACAGCCGTCGTGTTCCCTCAGCAACTGCTGTAGTACGAGACCTCTCGAGGGACGCGGCCAGCCGCAACCCCGCCCCAGCCGGAACCGGGAGCCGACCGGCAAACCCCAGCAGCTCCGCCGACAGGGAAGCTCAGCCGAGGCAGCCGGCCGAAACGCAGCCGACCAAAACGCAGCCGGCCAAACACTGGCCTCACCGGGCCCTCCATCCCCCACCAAAGCGTCAGTCACCGGCAGCCCAGCGGCCCGGGCAATAAGCAGCGCTACAGGGCTCTCCGCCGCGGTGCCGGGGAGGGCCCCAGCGCCGGCTGCGATCGACTCCTAGCCCCGCGACGGCGGCCGAGCTGCACCTACCTTAGCGCGGCCGCCTGCTGCCGCCCGCTGTTGGGAGCTGGGCGCAGGGAAAGCCTGCGGCGGCACATTCAGCATGCTGCCGGCCGAGCTGCGGCCTGCGCCCCGCAGGGCAGGGGGGCGGGATGAGCGCTCCAGCGCAGGGCGCAGGCGCGGGACGGGCGGAACCCGGGCCTGGGCGGGGTTGAGGGGCGCTAGCGGTGGTGTAGGTGGAGGTAGTTCTCGCCGGCCGCCCTCTGGGCTGCTAGCAGGAAACCGCCTGGCATTGATCATTCCCCGCTGCCATCGCGAGGCCTGGGGGTACCACTTTAGGACGGGGCGGTGGCAGGTGCGAGGAGAGGGGGGTCTGCATACCTCGTACGCCTCCTTGTCTCCCCTAGGGAGTTCGTCGTGCGTCGCACTCAAGTCGGTTTAATGTCCAGGTCCCCCAGATACGACGGGGCAAGCTTCGCAGGGATGCTGTTGGCACGCCGAGCCAGTCCTGCCTGCAGCAACACTCACACGGGCAGCTTCAAGTACGCGTGCTGTCAGTGGAATAGAAGTTTTGGCTTTTTTTGTTCCATTAGGGGCTTTGCTTCAGTTACCAAAGCCGAACTCAATCAAAACAACTCACGCTAGACGTTCTCATTTCTTGATCTCCACTTTACAGACTAAAGCAGAGATCAATAGAGTTTCATACTGTATTTCCATATAACAATACAGCACATGTACATGAGAGCACAAGTGACTCAAAGAAGGGGGTTGCCTTAAAAGCAAAAACTAGAGTAGCAGTTGCACCCTTCTCTCCAACCAAGAGAGATTTCTCTTTTCCATGTTTGAAACTCCATTGTAACAGCATGAGTGATTAAGAGTACTTAATCCAATGATTCCTTGACATGCTTCCACGTGGAGCCTACTAAATCACAATGAAAATGCTTTCTTTGTGTGTCCTCAAACTTTGAGGAAGTCACATAACCTTTGAGCCCTTTAAAGCACGGCTTCCTTCTGTGCTTCTAAAATTGATGTCTACAAAATATAGGACCTCAGATAAAAATACTAATCAACACCTTCCCTACCTAAAACAGAACAGGAATAGAACAAAGAAAAAAGGTTCAGATAAAATTACAAGACATTTCAGTTTTATTAAGAATAACTTACAAATAAATTATCTTTAAAAATATTATAATACATTTTTATATTAGGTTTAAATTAAGTCTTAGAAGTTGTGTTGGCCTTTCCTGAAGTCAGCAATCTGATGGTGTTCGTGAATCTTGCTCCTGTTCATCATCTTCACTATCTGAGTCTTCATAAAAGGAAATTGTAGCTTGAACTGGAAAGTTTTTCAGAAGTGCTTCGGCTTCCTGATACAAGTAATCATAGCATCTTGATTTGGGCCAAAATAGTCTGAAACAAGAACACAGTATGTTTGCTTATTGTTATTACATATTCTACTTGGAGGCTGACAGACAACAGTGAAATTCTGTTAAGCATCCTACAGAGTTTTTCCTTTACATGCTAAACTGCTTTCTACATTTAAATAGAAAAGAAAATCCCCAGTTTCTCTATTTTTGTCTGAAGAGATAAAGATGCACTTAAAGTGCTGTTTCCACAGCAAAACTGCTGTAAACCCCAAGATCTACTGCATCTGAAACTTCCCACTCCAGTGCCTCATTAACAGTGTTACCTGAGGATCCAATCCAAGCAGTACTACCCTCACTGGAACTATTCCTTATCAGGTGTCAAACTAGATCCCCAATATATTTGGATTAAATTAGGCGCTTTGTTACTGAAGGTCCCCAACCCAGCTGTTTACAATGGTGTGAGACAAATCTCAAAGTGAAAGGAATGATAAAGGTCTAGGAGGATCAGACCTTGATATTTCACCCCTGTCTTTTCAGAATCATTCTATGATCCAACAGACTCCTCATGGAAGATGCTCCCCGGGTCTAGATTTTTTAATATCATCTGTGTTGTATCCAGAAATTAACATGAAATTGCTGATAATACCATGATTACCAAGGGCTATCAGCTAGTGCTCTAATGTATTGCAATTAATATACTCCACAGTTCCAGTTCCTTTTCAATTGGCATTGCTATTTTGGTGCTCTTTTGCTTACAGTTTGGAAATAGCTGAAAGAAACAGACAAGACCCAAGAGCTAAGAGACCAGCACATGGCTACATAATAAAATGCTGACTACAGGTTGCTTATAATACAATGTTTACATTAAGAAACAGAACTAGAGAGTTTTCTAGCAATTACAAAAAGTGCTTTCTAGGCTACTGTTTAACAGAACACAGCTTCCTTTGAGGCAGAAGGTAACTGACATTTATAGCATGTCTCCATTCCCTGTGTTCCCTTCAGCATTCCTCATCCCCAAGCCCCAGAGCAGTCACAGTGAAGTCAAGGTCTGTGCATCCGTATTTAAAGGATCAGAGCCTAGATTTGGGAGAAAGCTACATCTTGCCTGGAATAAATATTTCTGCAATTACTTTCAGCACCTTGCAACACCTACTGGTACTTCTGAATACAGGCTCTCCTGCAGATTCAACTGTAGTTTTATTTCCTTTTTAGAACTGACAGCTCAGATATTACTACTACCTTCCTCATTAAAGCAGTAATTACATGAATATCTCATCAGTGCTGGCTTAGTCCATATCCTATCATCCTGCCACTCTTTCCCACCTGCTTCCTTGCACCGGCAGGACTGCACAGCAAACTACCCCACCTAGGTTTTTTAGTTCTGAGCACAGGAATGAGTAGCAAGGTGCTTCAGCCAAGTCTGCCATCACACATCAAAACATACCCTAAAACCAGCCACGTAACTGTGCAACATGTCTAAGTCACGCCACAGCAGCATGCCGGCATCTTATCTTAAATCCCACAAGCGCTGACAGTGATTCACTCAAAGGCCTGTCAGTTCATAAGCACTTGGATGGCTAAATCACTCCGAACAATCTCTACATAAATGCATGGGTGGGAACAAAAGGGGCGGGGGAGCCGCTCGATCAGCCCAGTAACACACTCCCGATGAAGGGACTCTTCCCTCTTTCCCGGCCGCGCCGTACAGCGGGACCGGGTGCTGCCCCGCAAGAACCCGCTGTAGGCCCGGACAGCCACTTACCTGACGGGGTGCGTGTACTGCGCCAGCTTTCGGGAGGCTTCCGCCAGCCCGCAGGGGCGGTGTGGCTGCTGGGGAGAGAACAGAGATCAGCCCACAGGCACAGCACGGCACCAGCCCTCGGGGGGGCCCGCCAGAACCCCATAAACGCTTCTACCGGACCCACCCCGCGTGCCCCACTCACCGCGGCGGAATCGGTGTCGGTACCGCTCCGCCTTACCGCCTCGCCCGGCGCGGCCACCCATGGCCTCCAGAAAGGCGCAGAGCTACGGGACAAGGGTAGGATCGTTAAGGCTGAGCTAGTCCGCGCCCTGCACCGGGCCGAGGCGGCAAGAGGCGAGCACCCCTGTGGGGACAGCGCCGCTGGGGATGGGCAGACACAGGCGCACCCCGTCCCGCCGCTAGCTTGCATCCTCTGCCCGTGCATGGCTGCTCGCCTGGCCCTGTTCGCTCCGGGCCTGGAGGGTTTTATAGCCGGCGGCGGAGCCCACCTCCCCCAGCTCGTTTGCCAGCGCCATCCACAAAAAGGTTCCGCGCGAAGGCGCCGCTGTGTAAACACGGGGCGCGGGCACGTGCATGTTCCAAATGGCCCTGGGGGCAGCGTAGGGAGGGGGGTTTCGCAAGTCGGTGTTAATCGCACTTGAGCAGACACATGGCTGATGCTCGCGGGAGCGGCGAGCTCCTGTGGGAACAGCGCGGGAGGTGAGCAGCACCGGGGACGGGCCCGGCTCGCTCTCCCGTCCCGTTGTCCGGTGTCAAGCAGCCGCCGACACAGCCTTTTGTCTTTAAAACCGTGTTTATTTACCGCCCCGGGCGGCGAAGCAATGCTTGTGGGGAGGAAGGGGGGGGGGGAGGGCGGAACGGAGAACCAGCGGCTCCTCGCCTCCGGGCACCGCGGCCCGCAAGGGTACGGGTACCGGTACCGCCGCTGCTCCTCGCGTCCAAGCCGGCGGGAGCCGTGGGAACGGGAGCGCTTCCAGAGGCGCCCAGGCAGGGTCCGCGGGCACGGACACAAGAGTCTCACCCTGGAGGGTGGAGAAAGCGATGCTTAACACCGCGTCACCCCCCGGCACACCGTGACATGCTCCCCCTACGATAACATTGCTTTCTTCGTGTGCGCCCACGTACACTGGGTCGGGTTTGGTGTTTGTTTTTTTTTTTTGTGTTTTATATGTTGTATTTTGACCAAGGAAACCTGATGTCCTTTATTCTTCTTCATGTGGTCCCGCTCCTTCATTCGCTGCCAGCATGAGATGCTGCTGCTACATGCAGGAGGTTTCATGCCAGACTTGTACCATTTCCATGTTACCTGGTACCAACAGAGTTTATTCTTATGTCTATTTTCATTTTTCTTATCCTCCCTCTGTCCCCTTTTCTTTCCGAGGTTGCAATCACTGATGCATGGAAGGGGGGTGGAAGCAACAGAGTGATCATATATAGGAGCTGGGGTACCAGTAGTAATGCCAGCCCTGGGGAAGCTACAGAGGGCCGGTGGGCTGGAGGTGCCCTAGATGCTGGAGGAGGGCTTCAAACCCAGGTAATTTACTAGTATTTCTTAGGTACCACAACGACGAAAGCACTCTACTCTCTGCAATAATTTTGCTTTTGTGAGTGTGGCCATAAGGAGTGTGCCTTCCTTAATGCTGCCCAAAAATAGCTGCAAAGAGGAAGTTACTTGTACCTTCTCCACAATATCTTTGGCACATTTCACTGAATGGTATCATACGTATTAGAAGCTGTGTAGGAAATCTAATCAGATGAATATTTTCAGATCTTTAAGTCAAAACCAGGTGTAGACTGCATCACCTCTCTGGAGAAAAGCAACCTCTTCCTTTGAAAGAGAAATAGATGGAAGAATGCTTACATTTAAGGTTGCACATGCTGTGATACATTCCAACTTCAGCAGTGGATGTATTCTGGTACTGCAGAGATTTTGGCATTTGACCAATTGGAAAAATTGATAATTATGACTTCACAAGTTATTCAAGGGAAAAGCATTACATTGTGAAAAACCTAGTTTAGTAGGACATTAAGGTGGAGCCAAATGTTTATAAGACCAAGATTTCCGGAGTACTTTTGCTGCACTGTGGTGTTTGTAGTTGTTTGTGTTTTTTCCCCCGCCTCATTTTCACTGTGGTCTTGAGTCAGATTAATTAAAATCTGAGTGAACAAAAGGCTAAAACTCCCAGTAAATACTCATCTTACAGTTAAAAAATAGACAATAGGGCAAAGTAATTTGTACAATAAGCTGAGTTTGATCATAAGCAAAATTGTATCTATTTTTCCTCTGTTTCCAAATGGCTACTTATGAAACCTTGTCCCATGAGGTAAAGTGTAAACCAGATGTTTAAAAGCTGTCTGATGGTAGATTCTTCTTTTGCCTAAATGAAGTGAGAGCAATAATTTTTGTAGTTGGTATTTCTCTTTTGAGAAATATAACACAGGCTGTGTAAGACAAAAAAAAAAAAATAGGGGCCAGGGTGATTTTCTAAAGAAGAAATGCAGGAACATCATTCATCACGAAGGACTAAGAACACAACATCAGCTTTATCTGTTTGAGAAGTAAAAAATTTAGTTTCAGCATCTACAGTAAAAGCAACAAACCCAGGGGTGATTTGGGCCAATGATTCTTAATTATCTCAAGATTCTTTTTAATACCTGCCTGAAATGAGAAAACATCCTAGGGAGAAAGTGTGATTTACCCATTAGAGAGCAAATTGAAACAGAGGTGTTGAAAGGATAAGGAGAAAATAATGACTAACAGCTGTTGTTCCCCTGCATATTTTCACACTATATGACTCTTCTTGGCTTTATAGTTTAGTAATGCAGTCTTATTTGTTGAGAAAAATACAATATCTGTAATTGCATATTAATTTCTTATTACTGACATCATTAAAAACAAAACAAAACAAAACCCAACCAAAAACCCCACCCAAACAAAAAGCCCCTGACATTTTGTTCTCTTCCCATTGACCTTGAAATATAGGCTAGAAATTGTTAAACCAAGGCTAGAAAATTGTTTGTAATAGCTGTCTTGTCTTCTTTGGTTTGCACACAGAGCAAAGTAACAGTACATGGGTAAGTTAGTAAACCGCTCATGATAAAACCTCTGTGGCAGGAGCTGTGTAAAGCCACTGAGCAAGTAGCTGGTCGAGTGGGAGGAATGGATCACACTTAAAATGGGGTTTTTGCATATAGTAGTGGAAATCATAGTTCTGAATTCAACCTGAAGTCTGATAGAGGCAGTTCCTTCATACATTCTTGAATCATCTAATTAAAATTATATTCTCCTTTCTGTGCCTTTTGTTTTCTCAGAATGTATACAATGCAGTATTTATTCAGAATGAAAGTAATTAACTTGTTTTGGTTTAAATTGATTAAAAGTGCTTTTGTGGCTTTCTGCAGTATGACATCTTGAAATGTAATGCACTGTTAATAGGATACACAGAAGAGCAAACAGGTCTGTGCAGATTTGAGTGTGCTACTATAAACAAAGAAGGTGTTCACAAATGGCTTAGAGCTAAATTTGACAAGACAGTGCTAATCACACTTGGACATGGGAATATCTGGACAGAGGATGCTCAGCTGCCTTCATATTATCCTCTACGCAGTCAGTGATACCTTTCACTTATTAGTAAAACAGGCACACTGCATGAAAATTATTGCGTGAGTATATATAGTATATAGGGAGAGAATTGGCTAGATCTTGCTAAGTCTTTGTTCTATTGAGAAAGGCGAGGTCAAACATATGGAACTGCTCCTCTGCTTACTGAAACTGGGTTCAGTTTCCTCACTCATTAACATCTAAATTTGATCTTGAGTATTTTATAGCCTAACTTCATCTTGATGCTTCCAATTCCAGCAACACTTTAGGACTGGGTTTTGGAAATTAAGTGTGTGCCTGATATTTGTATAAAGATACTGACTGTACATACATAATTTATTTACATGTTTGGTCTGTTGTCTCATAAGTGGTTTTTTATCCATTAAATGCAAATTTTCATAGGAAATAAATGTGCACAACTTTGAGAGATGTTAATCTGTGTGCAGTTTTTATTAGTGGAAATTTTGCAGTAGTGTCTTATGAGGTAGCAAGCATTTTTTAGTTGTGATATGACATATGGGACATTTTCTGCTATAACTTGAAGGTGAAGCATCAGTTTTTAAAGAACAAAGAACAACACGGATGTTTTTACCAACCTCTGTCCTCACAATTATCTGGTTTTGATACAGTATTTTCTATATCACTAATATACTTGAAAGTGGGCTTGGTTCAACATTTCTACAAAATGATTTTTTTTTTTTTAATCAGTAAATGAGATCCAAACTGGGTCCTGAAAAATAAAATAAGTACAATGAAGTTTTCTTAGGGGAAAAAAATAAATGGAACAGGAGTTAATCAGCAGATCAGTCTATTCATATTACCAATGGCTGTAAAACTATTCCATGGCTAATAAAGACCCTGCTTGTTCTGTTGGTGTTGTGTATTTTTATTTGCATCCTACTTACATACAAAAATGCAGCACATATCCAAACAGTGTAGTTTCACTGAAGCCCAAGTGCCTGGTGATTCCTATGGAGAGTTATGTTTGGCGGCCTAAAGATGGAATGCTCTTTTGTGAAGACATCCATCCTACTTCTCTCCATCTCTCTGGATTTTGACTAGGCTGTAACAGCATTAAGAAACATCATTCTTTCATTTTGTGGAGGAAATTATTCTTCCCCTTCCACTATTCAATTGGGTTGCAGGAATTCTGGAATTAAAATTTTTTTCTAAGGAGGGATGCATTTCCAGGAAAGAACCCTTTTTGTGCTATTTGGAACCTAGTTCCTGGTGACTTAGGTTTACAGGATTTAACAGCATCTGGCCTCGCTGTAGGGCACAGCTCTACAGTCTGTTCTGTCAATGAGACTGAAAACCTTCAGCTTTCCCAGATTTGTCTCAGCCCTGATGCCGTTATGAACTTTGTGGTCACATGCACGTTTGGGTGGTCATTGGTACCTGCTGGGGAATAAGCAATCTGTGTGTGTTTGTGTGTGTGGCACATGCACACATACTTGAGGCCCCTGCATGTACATGTGGCAAGGTGTGACTCCACACAGCAGGTTGGGCTTACTCATTTCCCTCCCCCATTGCACTCTGCTCCCAGGCCCAGGCTGGCAAATGGTGACAGATATCTTATCCACATGGGAAAGTGACACATTAAGGGACTGAGAATGTGTAATGGGATCAGACACCGGTTACAGGGATCTTTTAAAAAAATAGGAATCTCACTTGCTGTTATGGGCACTTTAAATTCCACACATATAAGAAACAGAGACATTGGTGCTGAACACCAGCCTTGTAACTTCTTTTAATAGAATGGGAATCAGTGAAACACTGATGCATCATTAATGCTGGGGCTCAGCTAAAGTGGCTGGCTGGCTCAGTATAATGCAGCATAATGTCACAGTGTTTGCTGCAGTTGGAGCGCAAGGTGCTGCAGTGTGGCGCTGGCAGGATTTGCCCTCTCAATCCCCAAAAATAAGCCAAGTGAGATGAACTCGCTCTAGTCCAACAGCTGTTGTCAGAAGAGATAAAGAAAATCGATAATCATTGTAATGTCCTGATTTGACTCCTCTGGTAGTATGGTCCCTAGCAGTGTCATCTCTCCTCTCACAATGTTCCATTCAATCAAGTGTTTCTTCAGATTTATTCCTTTCCTGGCTACAAGAATAGCTGTGGAAGCAGAGTGGTTGTTTTTCAGTTTCCTCTGTATCTCCAAGGCATCAGCACAGCATCAACTCTCAAAAAGGATGCATGCCACTAAACTG